AAGATATTGAGGACAGGGAAAGGCCGGTGGGGGTTTTTGTCTGATGCAGTTTTAACACCTGAGTATAGCTGTGCTGCATAAACATGCTTTCATGGAGAAATCTGAGCAGTGTGTGCTGGACTTTGAAAACTGCAGGTTTTTCTGTGTGTTTTTCAGGGGTGAGGGAGGAGGTCACGTTTGCATGAAACTGTGTGAGTGACATAAAAGAGGGATGATAAAGGAGGAGTTTCAAAGGGGTAGTTGGTTTTACTGTGTAAGACAGTGACATGAAGATTATTTGTCTTAACTTCAAAGTAATATTGTGTGTCTTTACACACAGTTTGGGAGTAACACCCGGCTGTGTGTAGACTTTAGCTGTGTGTAGACATTTATGTAATGAACAGCACATAAAAACCTGAAGTAAAGGAGTGACCATGGGAGAATAGACAGGCTACCCTACTCTATGCCAGTCCTAGCACATACATTCATCATTAGGCTTCCCACAGAGCTCTGTGTTTCACTACATTTACCAGAGTGCTTTATGGAATCAGGTTTCATGTGCAGTCTTTGCATCTTTTTTTGGTCTAAAGGTCCTAAAAGGACTCTTTGGGTTTGTGGTTGACGAGCAGCAGTGTATTAACTTCAACTTCAGTATGTTTTAAATAGGTGTAATTTATCACATGCTAGTGGTTTAAGAAATACTTTAAAGCTTTTAGGCAGAGAAGTTAAATTATCTCAGAGTATGTATGCCGCGTAAGTATATCCAGCTTATTCAAAACCCAGCTCCTCCTGGGGAAAATAGAGGTGTCCAAAGGACTGGACTTTGCGGTCATGCCATGAAGAATTCCTCCCTTAGAGATGGTCACAGCCACAGATCAGCCATCCCCCAACAACAAAATGTCTCAAGTTGGAAGCAGAACACTCAGAATCAAAGTGTCAGCCTGCCTCAGCAATACCAAACCACCACCTTCTAACATCAGCAGAGGAGAGGGATGCACTCACCACTCTCAGCAAGGACAAGAACATCATCATTCTCCCAGCAGACAAAGAAAGTCGCACAGTGATATTGAACCAAAAAGACTATCATGAGAAAGTAATGACATTCCTTAGTGACTTAAACACTTATGAGATGCTGAAATAAGACCCAGAAAGTGGGTACAAGACTGTGAGTGAATTGGTAGACTCCGTGAAACATTTGGAGCAGGACAAGGCCATTGACCACGTTCTGTACCACAGACTATACCCAGATTCATACCCCAATTCACAAACAATATGTACGGTAAAGTTAAGACCAAATGTTACCATGAATAACTCTTGTCACTTAACATAATTTACCAATATCTGGCATCTGTACCCAGCCCATTAGTTGGCAGCTGAGAACATCAGCTACAGAACACCATGGACTTTGTGGATAAGGTGAATGATGTCATCATGGGGACTCATGAAACAATGGTTTAATTTGATATCACACCCATTTTTATGTATGTTACCTTTGATGAGGTGGAACACCTGGAGAGGTGGTGCAAAGAGAATAACCTTCACATCAATGTGAAGAAGACAAAGGAGATGATTGTGGACTTCAGAAGGAACAAAAACACCTACACCCCCCTAAACATAAGAGGATCTGCGGTGGAAGTGGTCTCCAGCTACAAGTACTTGGGTGTACACATGAATGACAACATCAGCTGGAGCAACAACACCACCAGCCTGATCAAGAAAGCTCATCAGAGACTCTACTTCCTCAGACGGCTGAGGCGAGCTGGTCTGGGAAGCTCAGTCCTCACCTCCTTCTACAGGTGTGCAGTGGAGAGCATCCTGTGCTCGAGCATCAATGTGTGGCATGGAGGCTGCACAGCTGCAGAAAGAAAAGCTTTGCAGAGAGTGGTGAAGGCTGCACAGAAATCTGTTGGAATCAGCCTCCCCACCATCACAGACATCTACACCTCCAGATGCAGGAAGAGGGCCACCTGCATCATGAAGGACCCCACTCACCCAGCACACACACTTTTTGCCCCACTCCCCTCAGGAAGGAGGTTAAGGAGCATTAAGTGTAGAGCCACTAGACTGAGGAACAGCTTCTACCCTGAGGCTGTTAGACTCATGAATCTCTAACCAGAATAATCACTGTGAAAAAATCACATCATGTTGCTGCTGATCTGTTTCAATGTTGATGTGTTCATGCGTGCACATCTGCTCACAGACTCATGTTCATGTTTGTGCTGATGTTCAATGTTTTATGTTATGAGTGCTTAGTGTATATTTAGTTGATGTTTTTCTTAGTTCATATCTTAGATGTTGTTACTGTTTTTCTTATACATTTTATTGTTGGATGTAACTGGGACCACGTGTACATAATTTCGCTCCACCACATGTACCACATGAGGCGCGAATGACAATAAAGAAACTCTGACTCTGACTCTGACTCTCTGACTCTGACTCTGATGAATTCACCAGCATACCATTGATGAGGCAGTGGAGGTGGTGTGTTTAGGGTTAAAATCGAACCCCACTCTTAACAGCAGGACTACTTTTTCCACAGAGCATCTGTGCAAACTCTTGAAACTGTGCCTGCAGTCAACCTACTTCACCTGTACACAATATTAAAGGCAGAAATATGAGTGTACTAATGCCAGTTTATCTTATTTTTTCGCAAACTGGTACATGGAGCAGGTAGAAAATAAAACATTGATGTTCTTTTCAGGGACACCACCGAGTCTCTGGTTCAGGTATGCCAATGACACTTGGGTTAATATTAAATCTCAGAAAATTCAAAATTTCATTGATCACATCACTTATGTGGTTAAATACATAAAGTTATATGAGAACATGTAAAAGATGACCCGTTGGCTTTCTTGAGTTGTGAGGTCTCAGTCTCTGATGGAGGACATTTGGAGACTGATATGTACAACAAACCCAACCACACAGACCAGTGCTTGTGTTTTGACTCCCATCACCAGCTCGAACACATATTAGGAGTCATCACAACTTTGCACCATAGAGCCAACAGCATCCCCACAAATTCATGGGCCAGGGAGAAGAAGAAATCCCACAGAAGACAGGCCCTGGAGCAATGTGGATATCCTAACTGGGCCTTTTGGAAAGCAGAGAAAAAACCCAAACAGGACTCCAGCCAGCCATTAGGTCAAAAGAAGGAACCCAGACCAGTGGTCATTCTGTATGTTGTGGGAGTTTGAGAGAAACTGATATGTTTATTTTCTAAACATGACATATCAGTGGCTTTGAAACCCTAAAATGCATTACGACAAAGACTTGTCCATCCCAAAGATCCAGTTCGTCAGAACAGAGCATTGTTGCCTATACTGTTAAGTGCCAGGAAGACTGTGATCAATTATACATCAGAGAAACAAAGCAGCCACTGGCCAAAAGGATGGCCCAGCACAGAAGAGCAACATCATTTGGCCAGGACTCAACAGTCTACACTCGTCTGCAGGCCAGCAGTCACTCTTTCAGGGATGAAGATGTGCACATCACTGATAGAGAGGAGCGTTGGTACAAGAGAGAAGTAAAGGAAGCCATCTTTGTCAAGAGAAGCTGCTCGTCATTAAATGAGGCAGACACTTTTGTATTCATTGCCCCCCACCCCCACCCCCCACCCCCGTGCAATCCTGTTATTGCAAGTATCACTCAGCCCTCTGTGAATAGCAAGTGACCATCAGGTCATTTACAATCAGTTGTTAGACTGATAGTCCTCATGTATCAAGTGAACAACTAGTTTTGGATGTTACCAGGAAACTGGTTGATCCACTATGAGAAGGTATTGTTTATAAGACAGTTTGTTGCAGCTCCTCAGACTGAAGAAATCATAGATAAAAGATTAAACATTTCAACAAATAATACCCATCCAGAAAACCCGATAACCGTGTTAAAATGCTCAGTTTGCTGTTTTGAATCCATCAACAGAATAAATCACAGATGGCACAAATATTGGACAATAAACAAAGAAAAGTTTATTTCTAGTCATTAGAAATGTTAGACAATGTTTCTTTCTGCTCCATGATAGTGGGTGGTTATATATACAATTCAGAGAAGAAAAAAAATCTGCTTTGTCTTGTATTCAGAAAGAAATTTTCTAAAGTCCTCCATGCAATTTTGATTGATTTTATGTTCAAAAACGAAAAATGAAAGCACCTATTGTTGTTGTCTTTGCAAAAATTAGATCGGATGTCTTTAAGTATATTATTTTCTTATATGCATGTATCTAAACTGGTACCATCATGCTCATTTTCCATTTGGACCAACGTAATGTTCACTAGTACATATATGCATTAGAGTACAAATACATGCAATGTGCTCCTGCATTAAACCTCATCTTACACATTAGTATATTTCAGGAACCACCAACAAAGAAAACTACTAAGAAAATTACCATACTCAGTTTACATGAGAACAATATGAATTCATTTGAAAATAAAATCAAGTAGTCACATGATATTTTGCCTGTACATAGCCTGATTGGACCACTCCACTTCACTTTAGCCTTGGTTTGAAATTGGTTTTATTACTTTTTAGAAGTAAATAAATAAATAATCACAAGTCTTCAAAGTGTACTCTGAGTCATAACCATTTTTTTTCTCAGAAAATGACGAACACAAAAATAGCCAGAAGAATACTTAAAAAAAAAAAATGTTGGATTAGATATTCAGTGTGGGCGGTGAAAAGTGCATCATATTACATATCACATTTAAATGTTTAAATGTCAAATTTGATTTCATGGGAACTTTTCTTCAGTTGGAGCATAAAAGGAAGCAAAAATTGCATCAATATCAAAATGTTTCATCTTGAGTCACAGCTCAGTTTTACTGTGCATGTCTGACACTCAAGTGTGCTCATTGTTGTGAAATAAGCAGAACACACAGACGGTCTTGGAGGTAATAAAACCTGCTGGCTCACTTCGTAAAATGGTTAAAGTACTGCTGAGGGATGTTAGTGTTTTAAAGTTGTTTAAAGATTAATTAAAGTTAACTGTAAATGTGTGTTCCTCGCTTTGTTTGGTCTCCCAGCTGCTGTCAGACAGCCAGATCAACATGGTGAAGGTGGTGAACTCCGTCAGCGATGCTCTCAATGCAATGCAGAAGGAGAATGTGGGTCTGAAGGCTCGAGTCAAGGCCGATCTACAGAGAGCTCCAGCCCGAGGGGCTCGCTTCAAGGGCTGCTCCAATGGTGAGAAAAATAGAGCTTCACTTTGACTTGATGTGACCTCCTGATAAGATTGTATAGATTTGTCTTATGTTCTATATGTTTCTGTATATGTAACACAGGCATCCCCATGTTGACCTTAAACCTGCTTGATCTACTTTATATGTTATTGCCCATGTTTTCCCAAGATTATCATTCTGTAAAGTTATTTTCCATTAATCTGTTTGCTCTCAACCTCAGAATATGTATCCAATGAAGCCTCAACAAGCATTATCAGTATGCTACTCTTGGCTATATCTCATTTACATTATTCAGTGGCCTTACTTAAGTCATGGATTTTATTTTCATGTTTGTGAGCGATGACACCACTGGACTGTGTTGCTGAGAGGCAAAGAGAAGCCTGAGGCATCATCCCTTTATGAGGTTTTCTAACTGACAGTATACGTGGTGGCATCCTACTGCTGGATTTGCTTTGCACAAGTAGGCAAACAGCACAGCTGAAGGCAAGGCGTGCACAGAATACAGCACGCAACAGTAGGGTGGAAGGTCGCAGTTTTTTTTTTTCTCTTTTAAAGGCATAGCTTGTTAATGTGAAATGTCTTTTATAAATCTGCAAACAGATTTACCCAGTAGTGGTTTCAGTCTGTTTTACTGCTTGTAAATCCAGTAGCATCTTCTCTAAGCCAGTGTCTCACTAGGCTTCAAATATTGGAGATAAATTGACCATTAAAAAAGCAGTTAAAAAAAAAAAGAATGAAAAATCAAAGCAAGATTTTATATTTCAGTCTCCCCAGCGTTTGTGAAAAAGTGAACAGGAAGCCATATGGCCCTATATTGTTTGGTTACCGTTTTATAAATCACAGCCTATTTTTCTATGCACAGCTTGTGAAACTGAGTCTAGACCATGCACACTGTTGTGTTGCTCACTACCACTCACATTGTTTTCACCTTGCTCTGCTATGTATAGACCTTGGCAACCACCTTCATCTTTATGATTTAATATGCTGGAGAACATTTTAACAAAGAAAGTAGACATATTTAAACCTATTCACTCTTAGGCTGTAACTCTGGATGGTGCAGCTCTGGTGATATACAATTACATATATAAATTGATAAAGGTTTGAGGCACCTGCAACAACTAAATTATCAACAATTTTTAGAAAAAAAATGTAGCTTTTTTTTTAAGGCTAAAGGGAAAATGGGGCCCGTGATGGCTCCATCCAGATCCTTCAAAAACACATTTATGTCGCATTATTAGTTGATGTAAAGCAAATAATTATTCAACTTCATAAATACAGTTAGAGAAAAATGTTTGTATACAACCTGAAAACAACTGATTGGTAAACACAACATGTACATTCTTGTGTAATATATATATATATATATATTTTTTTTTTTTTTTTTGAAAGACCGAAGAATATTGTGTCTTTACAATGTGCTACTAGAAGCTCTGTTCATTAGGCTGCGGTAGCTTGGTGGTCGGTGCTGTGGTTTTCTAATCCTGAGGTTGAGATAAAGTCCAGGTTGCGTCAGGAAAGGCATTCAACGTAAAACACATTGCCAGATCTTTCATGTGTTCGCTCGCTGTGGTGACCCCTGAAGAAGGGAGCAGCCAAAAGAAACTTACTCACCAGTAGCTCTGTCCATGGTGCTGAAAATATATTCTGGCATAACACATTTGTTTCATACTGTAGTTTATGACTTGTGGGCTCTTATAGAATGTTCTCACCTAAATTAAATATCTTGAAACAATCATTAAACTGTTACTTGAAATAAAGCAAAAATTTGAAGTGACCATAAACTATATAAGCTGACACAAACAATAAAAGTTAGATTTGAGCTGAATAGTCCTGATAAGTTACTTTATTCAGGATCTAATTAAAAGTCGTTGACTCTTGGCTCTTAGTTAATGGTACTAATAATGGAAGCAAACTTATATATGCATGTATATGTATATTATTAAATGTATGTATTATTTCCCAACTACAAGATACACCATTAGGTGATTCTAAGATGTGTGAAGTTCTATAAGTGACTAGTCTAAAAAAAAGTTCTAAATTGTAACCCAAGCATTTTCTATGGTTTTCAGTCAGGTTTCTATTGTTATTTCCATGCAAGTTGTATTATTTATAAAACATATAAATATCATATATGAAGCCTGTTGTGGCTGCCAGAGAACAACTTTCAGGTCTTTATATTTTCTTATATCCCACAGAGCTTCTTAAAGTTCAGTCAAATGAGTGCCAAGTTCTTTCTTATGAATTTTCTTTGAATCTAATGAAAACCTGCAGTATATTTTTATAAGCCTAGAATGTTCAGAGAAAATGGAGATGGATTGTTGAATTAAATTAAGTTTTTTTTTAGTCCTTAGGTATATAAAATTACCCATCTAGACAAAGGGAATTCTTTATAACTTGAATTTTCTTCTCTTTGTGACACTTTTGTGTAAGAACTTTTGAGATTTTGTGTAAAATCTATTAAAACACTGCCTTTTTGTTTGCACTTGGCTTAAACTGGATAAATATTTTCATTCCAACATGATTTTTTTTATTTTTATATTAGCTGTCCACGTAAAAGACAGTGGGCATTTTAGATGTGGAACAAAAGCACCTTCCATGTTGGGCAATATTTAAAGATTAAAATTTTGAAACTGAGTCAAGATATGAAATAAAACTCCAAAACTAATTCAGTGTGAGGTCATTGTACCCTCCTGCAACAAGAATAACACTATTACCTGAATAAACTTTTTTTTTTAGAAACTTTACTGTGCTTTTCATAAATATAGCCACACAGATGCAGTTTTTTTCCACAATTATGTTACAAAATGTATAAATAGGAAGACAAATGAGTAAAATAAAGAGTGACAATTTACTGGTCTTGCAAAAATCCCTTGCAGAAATGTCATATTTCCTGCATACATCTTCTAAAGACACCTGTAGCCATCACTGTGCTGTGAGCTTCATCTTAATGTATTTCAGAGTGGCTGTGTGCCATTTGCAATTGTGGCAAAGCTGCGACTTGTAATTATGTTTCCCTTCCAGGGTGAAATGTAAATGGTGAATTGCATTTTTTGTATTTATTTTTTATTTTTTTTACATGAATATACTTCACAAACTCCAAGTCTGGATAAAGCCTTGAGGAGTGACAGGGCAATGTGTCAGATGGCTTCTGATGTCATTTCGTTATCCCGTCTGCTGACATTTTTAGCAAAAGTCAAAATTCCCAAAGCAAAAAATGTGTCTTTCCTTTGGTATGTCACCCTAATTATTACAGTAAGTTTTATCTATTTTCATGAATTCAGTGCAGTTTATTTTTATAGTGCCAATTCACAACAAAATCACCTCTGGGCACTGAACAAAAACATCCACACACATCATAAAATGCCAGTTACACAAAGTTATCTATCTAAGGAATCCAGCAGATTGGCAAATCATCACTTTTTTGCAGTCTCTGAAGATTCTCAATTTTATCTTTACTGTATTGTTATTATTAAATTTAGGCTAAAGCACAAACAACCAAAACCTTTGACTAAAACACATTGGAGTCTGCTGTTCACTCCTTACTCCCCACCTTTGAATTCATGCTAACCAATGACTCTTTCAGTATATCTCATTATAAACCAATGAAAATATATATTATCAAGTAAATATAGATGTAATATTTTAATGTCTTGTTCTCATATGAACAGTAAACAATTAGATTTTGTTTGTTTTTGTTTTTTTTGTTGTCGTTGCTTGCTTTTTTTAATGGCTTATATGCCTCTATGACCTGAGCTGAAACAATTCATTATGAATAAAATAAATAACAAATACTAGATTATTTTGGCTACAACAAATTTACAGATGAAATATGTTGTGCAGTTTATAGTAGGTTACAATGATATTTGTTTGTAAGCAAGTCAAACATGTTATTTTTATTAGTAGAACAGAGAAACTTGTTTTTGTGTCCTGTCAAATCTGACCAATGTGCTTTTGTTAGTGAAAGGAGGAAATATTCCCAAAATTACAACTGAAAATTCCCCAATGGGATAATTTTTTTAGCTAAAAACAAAATGTATTCCCATTTTATTAATAAAGTCTAACATTAGCTTCAGCATGACCTCCTTCCTCATCACATTTGATTGTCTCTTGGTCTGTATTTCTAGTTGTTTTCACCTTTTGACTCTTATAGAGTACCATTCATGCCATCACCTCATCACCAGTGTCATGATTCAAAGCAGGACTGAAGACCCCAATCACTGTTCAAAAAGTGGTTATTGTGCTGTCACTGAAAATGCATATAAAAAGTGTCTATTTTTTTTTTTTTTTTATTGTACCAAAGCTGCAGGAAAATTTCTACATAAGATTAAAAGTATGTTAGAGTTGTTGGTGGAAAAGCCACGTGCGGTTCCTCTCAGGAAATTGTGCTGTTCTGAACAGATTCTTGCGGAAATTGTCATGGAAGCTATAAAGAGAAAAGAGACGTGTGTGTGTGTACTCAAAATTCAACACATCTCTGGATGTTGAAAAAGAAAAAGAACGATGTTCATTTAATAAAGTCATTTTCAAACATCTATTAGTCATTTCTGATGATTGGCCCTTTTGACCAGGGGCACCAATGATTTCTCAAAAATAAACTAATCACGTAAAATCATCATCTAAATCATCCATTTACTATATTTAAATGACTTCTGTGAACCGTTTGACCAGAAGATCATAGAAGGATTAAGGTTGCCTCAGAGACTTTTACAACATGTGCAGCAAGCATGTAGAGACTTTAATTTCAAATGTGCTATTTACTTAAAGGCAAATGTTTCTGGATTGATTCTTGACCCAACATTTTCGAACAGGTCCTGGCTGACGCGACCCATAGTGAACTTTAGACGCAGCAGCATAGACAGGAAGGAAGATGAAAGTGTGGAGCACAGCACACAGATGGCTGCCTTTCTGGTTGTAGTTCTGTTCCTTTCTTTGTCCTTTGTTGAGTAAACCAGGCCTATTACTGTAAAGATGTTTTGCATTATTACAAAACTGAGCATCTCTAGC